AATGATTGGGAAAAGTATACAATCAAGACAGGAAGCATGATTTTGGAAAGGAAAAAAGGAGTTTTATTAACACAAGAATAATACAAGGATTTTTGTCACAAGTGACATTTAAGTTCCACCACATTCAAGTACAAGCCACTACAAGACCATTATAGAAAATATTACATGAAGAAAATTACAAAAAATGTTATAGTTGACCATTGACTATTGACCCATTTGACCCAAAAATCTGACTTGTTCTTGATTCTCCACACTTTAAATTCTCTTCAAATTCTCTCTCCAACTGCACTCAAGTCCTTTTGCAAGACGAAGACTGTGTCTGAATGTAAGAACACATTTTTTGGAGAGATCTACCGTTTGAAACTAAAAGCATGAGGACATTCCTTGATCATTTATGGTTTTACTGCTCTTGCCATCTGTTAGATCTTGTGCTAATACCACTGGAACGCTTGAGTGTGACATTCTGCATCTTTGTTATTTTGCCTTTGCTCTGGTATGCTTTTCCATGAGACTTGAAATACTAAAAAAGAAGAACAAAATATTCAAGTTCTTGTGTGCACACAATTTTGTTGTTATTGTACTTTCTCTTGCCTATCAGTCTCCTTTTGTTGGGGGGCCAAGTGCTGGAAAGCATGACACAACAAATACATTTATGAGATGATTGGTTGTTATAAATATGATTAAGGTTTTTGGATTATTGCAAGATCGACAATGGTAGGGACTATCATTTTTGTTATGGTATCACTTCAGTCATACATGTTTTCCTCTTAAGAGTTTGATTTTGTGTGTCGGTACCTGGAAACAAAATCAATTACAAACACATCAAAAGCAAATGAATAATATAATTGACATGAAGCTGAGATAGGGAATTGATGTTAATCCAGAAGTTTTTCAGCAACACCTTGCTTCAAGTCAACGCTCTACTTATCCCTATCAACAATTGAGGCAAGGCCCGTTTTCCGTTTCTTCGCCCTAACTACTACTGACCCCATCTCCACAAAATCCATAACGGTGCCTGTACAACCAACAACTTTTAAGTCATAAGCTTTAGATGCAATCTTAATAACAACAACATAACCTTTTGCAATCAAATCAGTTACAATCTTCTCAGCAACCTGCCATAAAGTCGACCATAAGTACGACAGTCCAAACCAATGCATCCAATCATAAGTTATAGCAGTTAACAACCAGTATATTTCATAAGTTATTCTAACATAACATTTTAAGAAAATCTAACCAATTTTCATAACTAATTCAAACAGTTCTAATAGTTTCACATTCATTACCAACAATTCAATACACATCGATCGTTGTTACTTAGCGTTTGGTTGTATATGTGTTACTTACAATCACGGTCCTATGACCCTTGTAGAAAACCCGTAAGCGCGCGAAATATTACCGCGATAGTGTTAACTAACTGTTGTAATATATTAAAGGTCTCAGGTTCGATTTTCAGCAGCACTTGTTTGATATATATATATATATATATATATATATATATATATATATATATATATATATATATATATATATATATATATATATATATATATATATATATATATATATATATATATATATATATATATATATATATATATATATATATATATATATATATATATTATTTTGGACAACGTTCACTATATAACCACAGTCATATTCAACAACCGCTGTTAAATTATCTGCTTTTTAAAAATATATTTTACTGTTTTTTTGAAAATTTTTCATTTTTTAACATGTATTTTTGTGAAACGTATAAGAACAAAAACATCAATTATATCATAACAAATAATTGTATTGTATTACATCAAATCCACACATGGATTAAGAACCAAATATTATATATATATATATATATATATATATATATATATATATATATATATATATATATATATATATTAAATCACATAATTTTATCTTATACAGTGTTTTGGTTTCTTTGTCTCTTGGTGTCTTGACTTTAAACATCTATAATATCAAATAATCATACTTGTTAGTTATAAATATAGTTAGAAATAATAACTTATATTAAATTATGAAAAAATAATAAAATACTTGTTAATTTTCCCAGATGCCTTCATCATGATCGATACGAATAACATACAAATAATCTCTATCAACTTCATCATATGTGGTAGACACTTTTGTTGTGTAAGAATGAGTTGAAGGAATATCAAAATTTTCATCACTACTAGGAATGTATTTTTCTCAGAGAACGATTAACCATTTCCCCGATGTGTCCGAAGGGTCGGTCACATAGAAACTTGTTTTGCTCGTGAAACCATGATGAATGGTTTGATCATATAATTTGTCTTGCCAAGGTCAACTCGGGTGAATCTTAAGTCATTATTTTGTACACCATTAATATTATTAGGAACCCACTTGCATTTATATAAAGACACTTTGAAGATAATATAATCAATCTCTAAAATCTTCTCAATCACACCATAGAACGCGCTAGATGTCAATATTGGATTCTTATCTTTCGAAATAGAGAAATACAAGGATTCAACTTCAACCATAACTCCACTATTTTGAATTGTACTATGTTCATATTTTGATTTTGTATAAAAGGTATAATGACCAATGTCATATGCATTCCAAGTTATCACATTAAATTTTGGCATGAACGACAACCATTTAATTGTCTCGGATGCACTATGATCTTTTGGTATCCTTTTATTAAATCAATATAAAAATTTCTTGTTATGCTCGATCAACAACAACTTCTCATATATTCATGGATATCTATTCTTCAAAAGTCTTTTGTGAGTCGCCACGTAAGGTTAAACTTCTTCAAGATTATTAAATATATAGAAATGTGACTGAATAATTGCATCATAAGCCATTGACTTAACATTTAAACCTTGAATACCTCTACCTTCAATGTCAGCATGACAAGACTTTGGAATTCCTATAGACTCTGTTTCCGACAAATAGTTTGTACAAAACTCAACAGGTTTTTCTGTGATGTACCTTTTAATAATCGAAGCTTTCGGTCAGTGATGATTCTTCGTATATCCTTTAAAAATCTTCATGTATCGCTCTATTGGATATCTCTACCTTAAATAAAATGGACCACAAATTCTGATTTCTCTTACTAGATGAACAAGTAAGTGAACCATAATGTCAAAAAATGATGGAGGAAAATACATCTCCAATTGACACAAGATTATGACAGCTTCATCTTCCAATTCATTTAATTTTTTGAAATCAAGAACTTTACTACATATGGCATTGACGAACAAACACAATCTGGTTATAGTTACTCTCACATTTTTTGTAGGATGTCACAGATAGCCACTGGTAAAAGTTGTTGCATCAAGACATGACAATCATGAGATTTCAAATCAATTTACTTAGGATCTTTCATTGATACGAGTTTCTTGATGTTTGACGAGTAACCTTGGAAAACTTTGATACCATACAAACACTCGGAAAAGCTCCAAGCCATCATGCAAATACACAACAAATCATGAGCTTACATAAACCACAAAACTATAAACCTACAGACCCCACAATTCCACTACAAACCTGTACGCAAAACACATGACCTGTAAAATGACAAAACAACAACCACAAAATTTCTTCACAACGTACACGTTCCAAAACTGTGATACAACCTATAAACAAATATCAAAACACAATGAAACATCAACAAGCTCAATTCCCAAATTCACTCGCCACATTCACTATAAGTAAGAGCATCCCCTCCACTCTTTTCCAAGTTCTTGGAACTACCAAATTGCTGTTGAAATTTATCTTCAACCTATTTCACCATAAACCCTCTTCAGACTCAAATTTCATTTCCTTAAGATCTCCTTCAATGCCCAACACAAAACCACCATAAATCCATAAACCCACAAACTCCCTTCAACCTTAAATACCCAAAATCGCAAATCGTCAAAATCAACACACAGAACCAAATCAGAAAAGATGGGGTAGAAGAGTGATTTTGACACAAAATCATACAAACTTGAGCGAGAAACCAAACCAAACCTTAAAACGAAGCAAAATGAGCGAGTGAGATCAGAACCTAAGCGAAATTGCAAGAAGGAGACGAGGTGAGAGGAACTGAATGAAGAAGGTTGGAATAAGATGAACATTGTGCTTTTAAGTGTGCCCACAATGGTTTTTTTTTTACTCATACCACTTCTTTTTCTTGTTAAAGTTAATTGTGTGTGGCAATGAATGAGCTTAAGTCCCCATAATGATTCTATACTACCACACACTTGATCTCACGCTACACACCACCATTTTTTACTATGTTTTTTTTGTTGTGAATGGAGCTTCAGCCCATACGATTTCTCCATCCACCACCTATGTTTCTAATCTGCCTCCGCCCTTTTCATATTCATTATTTCAAATCGGTTGAATTGATCCTTTGGATCATTTTCTATATTTTGAGATCGTGATAGGTTACCTTCATCTGATTTAAATTCGTGATAGGTTACCTTCATCTGATAACGTGGAGAAGTAGTTATTCTCGTCCCTTATCTAAGCATGAGCGTGCCATATACCCCCTCAATTGAATCAATAGGAAACATGATCGAGTTGTGGCAGTGAGGCCCATGCCCATCTAAACGAGCTTTGGGGCAGCCATAATGCCCATATATGCGTGCGGCTTGTTACGCGCTACTAGGAGAGTATAAAGTGTGTGTGCAATTGCTTAGGTTTGAATTACTTGAGTTATTTCTCTCACGACTTATCTCAGTACAATATAGTATCACTCATTTAATTAATTATGTTAATGTCAAAGGTGAGATTTAAAAACATAAATATTTCAATATTAACTTGATTGAATACCTGTTTTTAGCATAAAAAGTTGAATTTAATTTCTTTTATAAAATAAAAAAATCAATGAAAGTCAAAGACATAAAGAATAAACTTGTAATAACACATCTCTTAGCATTATTTTTTAAATCTTTGAAATTGAATTACATGCATTTACTTCAAAAAAGAGAGATCAAAATAAGATTAATATTATAAAATGATCAAGAAAGAGATTTAAAGGAAATGAGGGATCTGGTATGGTTAGGTTCATCAACAACTTGAGCCTGATATTTCTTGGTGACAGATCCATCGTTTGCCGTCAATACAAGACGATAGTTAATTCCTGCAACAATCTGAGTCTCACCACTGATCACATCCACCAGACTGAGTTTAACACCTGATTTTTTCTGCTGCTCTGTAACTGCAAATTGAGCTATCTCCAACACTTGTGGATCTTTGATGTTTTTGATTGGGTTCCATCCACCAGGAAGACCTTCCGAAAATATTGACACAGATAGAAAAACAAGAACAAACATTATGGAGAAGCTGTCAAGTTTCATCATCTCACAAGTTTTTTTCTCTTCTCAATTCAACTGTGTTTCTATGATATGTAAAATCACTGTTGGTTGTGGATATTTATAGCACTTGGATTTTGATTTCTTAGCTTCCTTTTAGAATTAAAAAGACTGATTTTATTATTAAAATGTATTAATTGAGAATAAATTTATTAATTTAGAAGTAAAAGTATTTGTTACATATTTGAACAAGTTAATAGTAATAAAGGATCAATACTATATTATCGGTTGTGATAACCTTTTAAAAAAAAAAAGAATTGAGTTGAATTGAATTTAGATCGGTTCGATAAGAATTGATTCTGTCTAAATTTTGACTTAAGTTTGATACGAATTATTTTTTTAATTTAAATTTGACTCGTTTTAGTTCACGAAAAATTCAATTCAATTTATTAAATTCTATTCGTTTGTTTCACAAACTTATAAACGTTTTTTTAATTTTTTTATATTTAACATTTTAAATTAATACATTTTTATAAAAAAATATTAAAATAAAATAAAATAAAAATTATAATATTAAAAGAAAATAAAAAGCTATAAATCTTTAAAATTAACTTTCAAAATATTATATAATCTTAATTTTTCGAATAACCTAACGAATCAAACTATATCTAATTTAAGTTCAAGTCATTTAGCTATCAGATTAAATGTTTTATTCTTATTTAATTTATTTATTTTATGAATTAAATTCAACGATTTAGTATTGTATTAAATTTTAAATTGATTTGATTTAATGACAGTTCTAAATACATACCTTTAAAAATACTATGAATGTAGACTTTATTATTTTTGGTAAAAATAACTTTTAAATTGATGAAAGTGTAGAATAAATAAAATATTTAATTAAAATTGACATTTATAATACAAATTGCGAAAATATATGTTGCATTAAAATATATTCATATATATTGATAGTAAAATAATGGATTTTAAATGTCAATTTTGATATATATATATATATATATATATATATATATATATATATATATATATATATATATATATATATATATATATATATATATATATATATATATATATATATATATATATATATATATATATATATTACTCCTTTCTTATAAGTAATTTTACAGAAAAAATTCATTTAAAAAAAATATTTGAATGCATTTAAATCGAACTTTTTTTAATTTTAACCCTATTTTTTATTTTAAAAATCATTAAAAACATAGAAATTAAAAAATAAAAATAAAAATATATTTAATATAATAATTATGTATATCTTTTATTTTACTTATATTTAAGACCATTGAATTTTTGTTTTTTGAAATATGAATTAGAAAAAAACACATATATAACGCATTGATTGAGAACTATTTTTTTTCTTTCCATTTTCAAAGTCAATTAAGTTGATGTAATTTTTCTTATTTTCATTTTAATTTATTTTAAATTTTATGTAATAATTTATTTTCTTTTTCAATTATTCTAAATTTTAATTTAAAAGATTAATTTTATTATTAAATTTATTAAATGAGAATAAATTAATCTTTTTACAATAGAAGTCTCTTGGTCAAGATATATAAAAGTTTTTTTCTTGGCCATAATATATAAAAGTAGTAATAAAGGATATCAATATTTTATTCTTAAACAGGATGACTCTTTTAAAAAATTAAAATTATTTAATATATTAATAAAGTATCAATTTGTTTCTAAAGACTCCAAAAAAGTATATCAATCTAATACGGACCTTTGAAATATATCATTGTAAAAAATTTTACGCTGTTATTTCATCAACATTATCTTTTAATATTATTTTATTAATAATTAAAATAAAAATTAATTCCATCATGTTACTTTATTAATAATTAAAATAAAAATTAATTAGTTTTAATATTTAAAAATTATAATTAACTTACAGTGTAAAATTATTTTATACTGTCAATATATTTCAATTAAATTCTTAAAATATTATAAATTTGAACTTTATTAATTTTAATAAAAATAAATTTTAAATTAATAAAAGTGTAGAATAAATATAACATTTAATTAAAATTGATTAAAATAATAAAGTTCGCATCTATGTATTAGATATCTATATATACTATAATAGGTTATTTTACAAAAATATTTATCTCAAATTCACTTTATAATTTTAATACAACACCAATAATTCTAACATACCATTATATATATATATATATATATATATATATATATATATATATATATATATATATATATATATATATATATATATATATATATATATATATATATATATATTCGATAATTTACTTTCATAAAAAATTCAAATTCATCTTATCATATAAGAATATGATTCAGCAAAAATATATATGTGAGGCGCTGATTGAAAATATCTTATATTTTTTTAATATCAATTAAATTGATGTAACTTTTCCTATTTTTATTTTGCTTTATTTTAAGCTTTACGTAATATTTTTTTTCAATTATTATAAAATTTAAACAATTACTAAAATCAAAAGATATAATATGCAAAGTTGAATGATGTGCTGGATATAGGTGGGAGATCACGGCCACAAGGATTTTCTCCCAAGTTGCTCTCTTTGGAAAAGTTATCAAACCTCATATTTGGCTTTGTTATGCTTAGAACTTACAGATTGCATATTGTTCGACGGGTCCCTCCTCGTCACTTTTGGATCTCTCCTATATGCAACAAAAAATTATAGGCTCAGTCTTCTAATAAATGATTTAATTGATCATTTTGTATGAATTAAAAAAATAAAAAATAAAAGACAGAATATTATCTTTATTAAGGATGAAAATGTTAAAAAGTAATATTAAATAGAGGATAGAATTTAAAAATATGTATTGGAAATTAAAATTGGTCATTTATTTTGAGACATTTTTTAATTATAAATCGGTCATTTATTGTAAGACGGATATAATATTTTGTTAGTCTTGAATCTAAGCAAAAATTAATTGGTATCAAGGAGTAGGTTTGCGATTCAGAGAGAATATGTAATGGAAAACAGAAACAGAACATCAACGCAATTTCCATTGAATTATCGGTTTTCAAAAGTGAGAATTATGAACGGTGGGTTGCGCAGATGATAATCATCTTTAAATGTTTCTGAAATCATGAATGATGAAATACCAGCATTATAAGTGAATGCAAATGATGTTCAAAAAAACTACGCACAAGGATCAAAGAAGAAAGATAGAAAAAGTTTGTTCTTGATTCGGATGAAGGAAGAAGAACCAGTTTCAGAATACCTTTCACGTGTGATGTTGTTCACAAACCAGATGAAGGTGTGTGGTGAATCAATCAATTATTTGTAGAAGATTGAGAAAGTGTTGAAATCTCTAACTGCGAATTTTGATTACATTGTAGTGTTAATTGACGAGTCCAAGAATCTAACTGAGATAAAGTTAGAAGAACTTCAAGCTTCATTAGAGGCTCATGAGATGAGGCTGAAGCAGAGGAACTCTAGAAGGGAGAAGGTTCCTGAACATGCACTACAAGCAAGATTCATCAAGAAATATGGGAAAAAGAAGGCGAAGTAGGGAAAGAATCTTGCTAATGATGAGAAGTCAAGCAAAAACTCGAAGAATCACTCTGATTTGACTAAGAAAAGCATGAGCAATAAGTATTGTGGGAAGAAAATTGACATGAAGGAGGTGTAGTGTTACAAAAATCAATGACTTGGCTACTATGCTTGAGATAGTTAAAGAAAGAAGGATGCATGAGCGAAGGATATCGATAAGGTGCAGTATGCACATGTTGAAGATAGTCGAACACTGAGCAAACTAACATGTGGTGCATGGATTCAGGATGCACTAACCACATGACTGATGATAAAAACTAGTTCGCCAAGCTAAATGAATTAGTTAAGAAATTAATAAAGTTTACAGATGGAAGACGCATCACATTAGGTGGAAAATGAGATATCTCAGATGTCAGGAAGGATGGTCGAAAAGCTAGCATCACTGATGTGTTTTATGTACTTGCAATGACAAGAAACTTGAAAAGCATAGGTCAATTACTTGCAAAATTATACAACATGAAGTTAGAAAAGAATCAAAGTAATTAATTTTTATGGATGTTATATAGATCAACCCAGTTGATCACTGAAGGTGAGAGAAATACCCAAGAAATGGTGGGGGGGGGGGGGGGGGTTTGAATTGGGTTTACACCTTATTAAAAACTTTTTCCTTTCTTTTCACTTCTATACTTGTTACGTTAAGATAATATCAGATGCGTTGCGGAAGCATTAAACATAAAGCATATAACAAGTAAAGAACACAAGATATATCTTGGTTCACTTGAGCAACTCTCAAGCTAATCCAGTCCACCCTTCCAAGGTGATTTCGCCTCAATCAGTCGAGGACTTAATCCACTATAACCAAACTGATTACAGTTATGCACAAGCTAACTGCAAGTGACTAACAAATGGACAAGGACACGTTTAGGGATCCTTTAGGATATAACATTCATTGACTTCTAATAGAATCTGATAACAAGATATCTCCTATTAGAATTCCACAAATGACAACTGTCATTTGTCATCTCAAGTATTCTGATCTTCACAAGACCACTTGATGAACCACTAATTCTAAAATAGAATTTATGTTGCCGGAGATTACATGAGTGCTTTTTAACAAGCAGATTACTCCTAATTAAGTGCATGACAAGTATTGAGCAACAACTCCTAGCATACTAATATAGAAACTAATCTAAAGATAAATCTCTGAAAGATTATTAGCACAATAGTTTCCATATAGCTTAAAAGCTTTTCTTATTGAGCATTGCGGCTTCTTTTCATAAAGCTTTTCTTTAGGTTAAGCAAACTGGTTCAGCAAGTTACGCAAGCTGACTTAACTAGCTCACACAGCCAACCAACATTTGAATGAATCAAATGATCTTCCTTTTATAAGAATCTTTGTGAGGGTAGAGATGTCCTTTCAAATTATTCCAACGGTCATTTCCAACGGATAGAATAAGCATGTGTTGGATAGTACAGTGACATCACTTTTCTTTGTCTTCTTCT